TAGCCATTTCTAGATCCATAAACTCTACCTGGATGCTGGAGCAGATTTTATTGAAACTAATACCTTTTCTGGAACGACAATAGCCCAAGCTGATTATGGAACCGAACATTTAGTTCATGAAATTAATTATCAATCGGCTTTGATAGCTAGACGAGCTTGCGATACTGTAGAATTAGAAACTGGTAGGCTTTTTTCGAGCATCGATTGCGGTAGAGTTACGGTTTATGGAAAAACTTTTAGACAGAAAATGTTTCGTATGTGGATCTATCGGACCAACGAATAAAACCTTATCCATTTCACCGTCAGTGGAAAAGCCAGAAATGAGAAATATCAGTAATTTTTGAATTCTTTAGCACAGGCCGTACTTGATTCACTTGATCCACATCGCTATTGGTTGAATTAGTAAATAATAGCGAAGTGGATCAACTAGAGCAAGTGGACATTCGTTTCCTATTGGTCACTTCAAGGTTTTGGCCAATAGCGAAGTGGATCAAATGGATCGAGCGAATCAAGTGGGTCCATATGGCGCCTGCTTTTCTTTTCAATTTTTCCCTCAGATAAATCGATAATCGATTAATTCCAGCATTCCAAGAGCTTGTAAAAGCCTATGGAGAACAAGCAAGGTCATTGCTAGAAGGTGGTGTAGATGTATTATTAGTTGAAACTGTGTTTGATACTGCTAATGCAAAAGCGGCTTTATTCGCCATTAGAAGTTTATTTGAGGATGAAGGTAAGATTTCTTCAAAAAAATCGATTTTTCGATTCATCAGGGTTTTTTCAGAAATCATGGAGGTTCCCGTATTTCTTTCCGGTACCATTGTTGACCTTTCTGGCAGAACACTGTCGGGACAAACTGGAGAAGCGTTTTTGGTGTCTACCAGACAGGTATTGGATCAAGTCTTCCACTAAATAATTACTGTATTTATAAAATTCAGGGAAAACCATCAGCCGTAGGACTGAATTGTGCACTTGGAGCTAAAGACATGCGGCCGTTCATAGAAGCTATGGCAAATTTCTCCGAAGCTCTTATTATATGCTACCCAAATGCTGGTAAGTATTGAGGTTTACCTTTTAAGGGTAAGCAGCTTACCCTTAAAAGGTAAACCTCAAAAACTTGAAGCGTTAGGAAGTTGGGTTAACTTATTCATGAAAATTGACTTGCAGCTCCTCCAGATTTTCCAGTAAGCTTACGGTAAGCTAACTTTTCGAGTTTTTGTGTTTTCGGGACAGTATTAAGGCAGCGGATACCTTTTTCTGTGGGTACTGAAATGAGCAGTCTTGTAAGCCTTATGCAAGCGTAGCTTATACTAGCTTATAGTTCCACAGCGCAAAAAGACAATTTTAAACTCCCGCCCATCACCGTACTCGAGGGCTCGCTGATTGGCCCGTTTGAAGGGAGTACTGTAGTGGGTATAAATTCGAAGATGAACTTCTTGACTACGAATCATATGAGCTGCCAGTTGGGTAAAGGCTTGATTAGGGCCTCCAAATCAGTTTCCACTCATGTAAAACCCAAATTCCAAAACTTGGCTGGGCACCGACTTTGCAATTTATTTGGACTTTTGAAGAGTAATTTTTTTCGGTCTTCCAAATGCTCTTGGTGGATATGATGAAACACCTCAGGATATGGCTGAAACACTCAGACAGTTTGCTATGGATGGCTTGGTAAGTCTATAGCCATCAATCTAGTCATAACTGAAAGAGAAAAATCCAGAAATCATAAATTTTACTCGAGCATCAAGATTATGCAAGCTATTTTGTTTAGGTCAACATCGTTGGTGGATGCTGCGGAACTACTCCCGATCATATTTCAGCTATTGCCAAGGCTATGAAGGTAGTTCAATTTTACGGATTGGATTTTTCTGACAAAAAAATTTCGAAATTTTTAGGGCGTGACACCCCGACAACCTCCTCCGGACCCAAATGAGGGCAACATGCTCTTGTCAGGACTCGAAGCAATGACTGTGGGGCCTTACAGCAATTTTATAAATATTGGAGAGCGTTGCAATGTGGCTGGTTCAAGGCGATTCTGCAATCTCATCAAGAATGGGAATTATGAGGTGAATTTTACAAAATTGTTTTTACACTAGAGAAAGCGAATCTACGGGTTAAATTACTAAATTCAGCTCGACCCGTTTTCTAACCATTAGCTTATTTTATCCGTTTCGTTTTATCCGCAGATTTGATTTCTTTTTTTTTAAATTTTTTTCAAACCCCTTTTCTAGGCTGCCATTGATGTAGCACGAGTTCAAGTAGAAAATGGTGCTCAAGTATTAGATATCAACATGGACGAAGGACTTCTCGATGGTCCCTATGCGATGAGCAAATTCCTTCGACTTCTAGCCACTGAACCAGATGTTGCTAAGGTAAAATACCGGGGTCGACGACACTCCGGGCAAATTTGATCACCTAGGTAATTTCCTCCAAGGACTGTTTGGCAGGGCCCAGCACCTGGTTGTCAAAAGGGGTTTTCGAAAACGAATTCCACTTTGACCTCAAAATTTTTTACGAATACCCC